AGCTGGCGAAGGCGGTTAAAAAGCTTCTTTCAACTGAAGGGCTACGTGCAAATTGAGAACCACAATCTGTGTAGTACTAGAATTTGGTAAGTCTTGTGGAGGAAATAAATAAAGAAGATATGTTGTAATAGTATGCCATTTTTAGTGGCTAGTTTGTCGTTTTCTGGTCTGTTTCTCGTTTGCTCGTTTGGTAGGACTCATCAATAATGATTATTCTTTGACTTTTTCACTTTTTTAATTCTTAAGCGAATTTTTTTGTGGGCGGTGGGGTAGCAGGGCTTTTTATGAGCAGTTTTGGGGGAGAATTAAACAAGCTTTTCAACCTTTTCATAGTTCGGCTTTTGAAGAGGGTTGTTTCATGGACTTCGGCCTCCGGCGGAGGGTGGGGGGGGGGTCGTATTTCCAAATTTTCCTCAACGCCTCGCTTCCCTTAGAGTGTCATTGATCTCCACAATCCTGTAGATGCGTTTCACAGCAGCCGCAGTGGTAGCAGTGGAGGCAACCACAACTACCTGGTTGGCACGTCTAGGTTTCTTTTTAGTATTCATCTTTTGCCTCTTGTTGAAGTTTCGGCAAAATCCCTTTTTGTGGCCAATGCGTTTGCAGGAATGGCACGCTTTCTCTAGGTAGTCGCAGTCTTTCGCCCAGTGTGATCCTCCACAGCGGAAACAAGGTGACGGCGGTTCTTTTGCTCTATTCCTTGTTGCGCTCACAGCATTGACATCGGGAAGTGGTGGAGGAGATAATGGACTGCATAGAAGCTTTGCATCTTGCCGTATGTCCAAAATTTGCTGAATACCTGTGCTGAGCTCCTTGAGAGTGAGGTGCGGATTTTCTTCCATTTTGCGTAGTGCATGTGCGCGGATGTCGGCATAGTCGGAAGCAGCTAATCCACATATCCAAACAAGACATTTCATCTGTTCGGCTGTGATCGTATTGAACTCGGCCATTTCATGCCGTCTATTTACTAGACCGGTGTAATCACGAAGAGTCTCACCACTACATTGTGTCCGCAGGTAAGTGTAACGGCGAGCAAATACAGAGGTGTTATGTCCAAAAAGGTCTTGAAGTGTCTTTACTGTGTCCGCAACAGAAACTTCGGCTGGTTTCTTGGGTAAGATATGATTTGTGAAGCGTGCAAATGTCGCTGCGTCAAGCTTCGATACGATGAGTCGCGCTTTTGCCGCGTCGTCAAGCGTTGCTCCATCTTGAGTTATGACGTCTTCGTATCGGTTGTACCATACATCGAACGTGCATCCGTTTTCAGGATCATAGATGAATTCAGGTAAGCGAGCTGATAGTGAGTTAGTCACAAATTCTGTTGTCGGTGCCCGAATTCCTGTTGGAGTCGTTGTCATAGTCTTGAACATCCTTTCCATCTTATCCATTAGAGTGTCCAGCGTCTTCTGTTGAGCAATGGCTTGAGCGTCAAGGATCGCGCGGAGGGTATCGGCGTCCATGACGTATGATTTGGAAGTAACTTACGGCGGAGCTTCTGGATGACAGGTGCTTGTTCCAGCTGCAGGCGATGTAGTCAGACAGATATGTAGGTATAGATATATGTAGTTATATAGATATATAGCTGTAGTTGATCCTATGTTCTTCTGACTGGTTGAATGTCGTCGAGTCCGGCAGATCCTGATCGCCAAATATGTTGTGGAGACGTAGATCGGACTGCTTTATTGGGTAGACCACGAATACAATGAATCAACCTCACTTGAGGAAGTGTTTATATAGGCTTCGACAGCCGCTCTGGTAAACAAACACATTAGTCGGACAGCGCTCTTGCCGTAAACAAACCATTAGATTGTGATACTGACTATCTGAGCGGTGAGCCCTCTATAACATAAATGCAGTGGGATACCTAGTTTAGACCTAATTACACCCCGCCGGACGGAATGAGCAGTGCTTCAGCCAGCTGAAGGGTATTTCATGCACAGAATGAATAGTTCATTTCTATCATTCTCTTTTTGCTTTGTGCACATGATGATAAAGTCACGAATTTTTTTGTCAAGCATCTTCCCATGTTTGCAGGCCTTCTCGGGCTGAATTACTTTCATGTATTTGAGAATCTGGAACATGGCAGAAGTGTTACTGATGACGTGAAAGGGAGGAGAAAGAGGGTGGAAAAATGGGAGAAGTTAAGACAATTGATTGTTTTTCTCGTTTCAAGGCTATTTAATACCGCCATCCCAGTTTTTGATGATTTGTGGCGAAAGAAGTTATCAAGCGTGAAAGTTCCAAATTCGAGGATTTTCCCGTTTCATCAGAGGTATTTGCCCCCCCTCGCCGATGGTCTGGGGTTTTGGAGAGGAAATGGGGTGGAATTGAAGTGGGTCGAGTGGTCTCAGAATCAAATACTATAGAAACTGTGAACTTGAAGATGACGTCGGGGAATGGGATATGTCAAGTCTTTGTAATTCTGCTCTGCCTCATTTGCTCATACTCTACCCATTCCCAAACTTGACCCGCCCTCCCTAGGTGATTTTTGAAGGAAGAATTATAAACATGTGGGGGACACTTGCGAATTTTTGGGGAGCGTACAGTGAATTCCATCCTCATTGGAGTCATCTGCGCAAAAACCGATAATTTTAAGTGAGATCCTGGCGCAAGCCCCGCCCACACGGTCGGCTCCGCCCACTACCGTACTCACTTTGACCCGAGCATTTACTTCAACTTTGTATGCCCTAATGGCAACTTTACACCAATCCGGGACCATGGCTTTTCTTAGGTCTACGTAGTGAGTCATGGGGCGCTGGACAAACAAACAGACAAACACACCAAACTACTGCTTTATATACATAGGGGATAGGGGATAGATGTGGAATGATGGCAAGAAAATGTAGTGAGAGAGGTGGACGCAGGTACATGCCACTTTTGTGAGACTTACGTGCTTAGATAATAGAGGATCCATCTCCCAAAAACTGACGAAGATGGCACGGTATAAATGCGGTTTCAGTAGGCGGTAAAGGGATTGAACGCAAAATCGGAGAGGGGGGGAGGTGATCTGAATCGATGGGTGCTATACGACGTGTGCGGATGGGAGGAATGCCCCGCGTCAGCCGGGCATTCCGACCCAAGAAGGAGCAGAGCCCGGCGTAGCCGGGCGATGCGACTGGTCTACTCGAATAAAATGATAGTCTATACGGCCAAAATTTCAATCAATATCGATCGATAGCACGCGGCCCCATGGAAGTTCCATTTCTGCACCAATCAATACTGTGATTCTCAACTTTATTCGCTCAATATAGGCAAAACCAATATTTTCAAGCAATATCGATCGGTGACACGTGACCCTGCGGATCTTCACTTTCTTTGCAGCACTTCATTGATAACATGATTCCCAATCCCATTCGAGCCCCCCAGCGGGGAAACCGATATTTTCAATCGATATCGATCGATAGCATGGGACTCGATGAAACTTCCGTTTCCGCGACAGCCCCATCAATACTGTGATTCCCAACCTCATTCGAGCCCTCTGCGCAAAAACCGATATTTTCAATCGATATCGATCGATAGCATGGGACTCGATGACTTCCGTTTCCGCGACAGCCCCCAATCAGTACCGTGATTCCCAACCTCATTCGAGCCCTCTGCACAAAAACCGATATTTCAGAGTCGAGATCGATCGATCCCACATGGCCGGGTGGAATACCTACCTTCACCACTGCCCCCAATCTATACTGCAATTTCCAACCTCATTCGAGCTGTTTACGCGAAAATCGATATTTCCAACAGAAATTTTGGCGCAAGCCCCGCCCATCGGGTCGGCCCCGCCCACTACCGTATCCTTTTAAGCACCCGTACACGACCTGAGGGCAACTTCCTACCCATCCCAGACAATACTCCAACTGTTTTATTGGGTCTGCTTAGCCTGCGTGCCTAGTGGGTTACAAACAGATTTGTTGGTGACAAGCCACAGGACAAACACCTTGACTGCTTTTATATAGAGGAGGCGGACCTTATCTGCTTTTAGTATTATACGAAGTTATCTCACACAAAAAGAATTCGAATATTAGACTGTCGAAAATTGGTGCTCAAAGCAACACCTCCAGATCGATTTGGCGAGGTAAAAGCGGTCGATAATGAAAATGCGGATGCCGAGTTTACTGCAAATGAGAAAAGAAACAAAGAAAATCGCCGATGAAGCCCTCAAACGAAGACTCCCCCTCTTCCACTTCAGGCCGATGTCTTTGCAAATGAGCGATTCGCTGGCGAAGGAGAGGTGTGGCCAGACGAGCTGTCCGAAATAGTTTGCTTTTGCCGGCATTTATTGCTGGTTCCTTCCAGCAAGAAATGCATATCAAGAATCGCATATGCACCAATGCAAACCAAGACACCTGCTGGGCTAGCGATTGGGTGGATCAGACGAAAAGGCTGACGTGTTGGCACATATCCTAGTCCTTTACAGCGTCTTACCGACCTTTTTTTTCTTGGGGTCTTTCTATGTTCTCAACAAGGCCTCACGCATCATGTTATTTCATCAATACTAATACTAATACAAAAGTACAAGCTAAGAACACTGCTGTAAAGCGGACAACCTCAAACAATACGAATTTTTACAAATCACTCGCTAACATCTAAATAGTTTGCATTACTAAGGCTAAGCTCTAATGATTCATCTATTTCAGCTCTTGTTGATACCCTACACGAAGTCTTCCCTAACAGATTGGGCAGGCAGCCAAGAACGAGCCCAAAGTACTATTCATTTTCCTTCATCATCCAGTTCTTGAGCACACATGCAACTATCTACAGACCCGACCAACTTCTGTAGAACCCCGAAGGCGGCTATAACCCCTATACACGATCTTATTATTAGTCATGGTTGAAAAAGCGCTTTTTATCAAAATTTAGACAGACCATTAGACCAGTTCATGTGTAGTCCTTTACATATACTACATTATTACGACCCTAGCGGGAGAAGGAGCAAGTAGTAAAAAGCCACCACGTGACGTGACGCCGCTGCGGATTTGCGAAACAGCTTTTTCCATCGAATTGTGATGGTAACGACTCCAAAAATGAAGTTATATTCGTAATGATAACCGCTATGACTCGTATTGGATAAAGTTTTAAGGCGATACTGCTGCTCTTCGTGAGATAGCATTGCCGCAGCAATATCGAATCTGCTGATCCAATAACCCCCTCAAAACTGCATAGCATTGCCGAAATTTTGCTGTGCCTAACACCCTAGTTTCAAGCTTTATGCAAGATTCGCTGGTACCTAGTTCGATTCGCTGGCACCTAGTTCGAATCGCTGGTGCATCGTTCGATTCGCTAGCGATTCGCTCGACTCGAGCGATTCGCTAGCGATTCGCTCGATTCGCAAAGTATGACGTCGGCCTAAGATTGTTCATCATTAGACGTTAGCTCGATAGAAAGTTGTGCGAAGCTCCTTTGGGGGGATTTTCAGGACTTTGAGTGCTTTTGACAGAATCTTAAACTACTCTAATATCTCCGAATAATCCCAAATACCTAGCATTTTTGTGGAATGTTTTAGTTCTTAGAAATTACTTCGAAAATCGGAAAAGATCTACTACTTTGGTAAGTTAGCTTCACGTGACCTGGGCAATCACCTACAGGTTTAGCGCTTCTAATTTATTTGATTGAGCAAATACATATCACAAAGAATCTCTGCATTTTCATCGAAATTTCTCGTGTATTGCTACAAAAAAGAAAACATGTGGCTGCACATTTGTCTTTTGCTTGAAGTAAATGCTGGCCAATTTAGGTTTATCACTGCGTTGAAGAGGGTGGAAATGATAGTTGCACTAGGACTATTTTTGAGGATAAGAACACTGCAGCAGATTATTTGAAGTAAGTTCTCTCGGTTTTGACCAATGAACCAATAGTCATTTTTGGTCTGCGCCTGTAATCTAAGGCATTTACCTTGCATTTACTGGAACCCACCTTAGCTCTTCGTCTGCAAGAGGATTTGCTGAATCTTCATCTTATTAGGTTCTGATTTGTGCTTGAGGTGGTTTGGCCCTTTCTCGTTCAGTCAGGATAACTGTAAGTAGGTGTAGAGAACTGGAAGGTCAAGACTTTGACATAAATTCCGAAGAGCCTGTCAGCTCGGTGCATCTTGTATATCACTGACGCTTAACGCATTGGTCCTATCTTTCGTTTAGCAAGTATTGATACTTTATCCCACCTGGTTCAGGTGCAATTAACGTCAATTTTTGCCTTTGTATAGCTTTTCCTGACAGATGTTTTGGCTATTCAGTGTGTAGAAGAACGAACGCTTCAAACGAAGTAACTTTGTGATATATGTTTAGGTGTATTGCCAAGTATGTCGAGAGACCTATAGCTATAGACCTGAAACACTATGATCACCGAGCACATGACGAGCTCATTGAGAGTCTTTGCAGTTTTCGAGGTTAGCTCAGCTTCCCTTCTTGTTCTTCGTCAGTGTGGAGGTTAATTATGGGAAAGAGGTGTATTTTAGCGGGTTTTCAGCAATCAAATCCATAAAATATGGTGCACGTATATGTGACTGTTGTGCGTGTCAGCACTTATATGATCATGCAGGACCAGAAGTTGATCTTTTCGAATCCCGTAGGTTTTATTTTCAATGATTGATTTGTGTCATGTTTTTTTATGAAAATTATGTTTTTAACCACAATAATAAACCACTAGCAGCTCCGTCCCTTGGTAGTGATCTGGATTATTGTGGATATGATGATGGTCTCACCAGTCCCAGATTTTATTTCTCAGAGGATTTTGAAGACGACTATGACGACTTAAGTAGGTTTTTAACTCTTCCGGGCAACTTTTCGATTTCCTCATTTTTTGAAATTATTCTCGTTATAGATTTCCGTGAAGACGACGACTATTAAGTGAAGATTTCAGCAACGACTGCCATTG